CGCCCGGGCCTTTTAAACCGCGCCGGGCTGACGTCAGAGGCCGCCCCGGCGTCCAGCCGGAGAACTCCGGCCGGGAGACCACCGGACCCCAGGGAGACCCTGGATTCGGGCCAAGCTTCGAGCGGGTGCCGGCGTGGATTTCACTCGTGTACTTCGCGATGCCAGGGCCTTGAGATGCGGGGGGGCCCCCCCTTCCCCGCCGCCCTCGCCCCAGGCAATGGGCTACACCACCGGCCCTAATGCAAGCCAGTGATGTTTCTTTTAAGTTTTTCTTGGCGGTGGGGATCAAACCCTGGGCTTTGTGCATGATAGATAAACATTCTATATGAGTTATATCTCCAACCTTTGCTTGATATTTTTAAGTATTTTTTCTTGATATTCTGAATTTTAAAAAAAATGTAAAAAGTTTAACTGAAGCCCAGCGCTGGTGGCTCGTGGCTCACGCCTTTAATCCTAGCTACTCGGGAGGCTGTGATCTGAGGAAGGTGGTTCAAAGTCCCGGCAGGGACTCCAAAAGCCCAGAAGTAGAAGTGGTAGAGTGCTCACCTTGAGCAAAACAACACGGACAGTGTCCAGGCCTTCCCTGAGTGAAAGCCCTATGACCAACAACAACAAATTTAATTGAACAGAAAAGTCTGGTACTAGAAATAAGGGACTTTTTATCTATCTTCCTTCATTTTCTCCTTCTCACTTGCTGTGGACTCCATAGTTTTCTGAAGACATGAAGGTCCGAAGTGTGTTGAAATCCATCATATTTTAAGGTAGACTTCAAAAGTTTCCTTTTGCTATCAAAGGAAGGAGTTGCCCCAGAATCAGGCACACAGAAGCCCAGGTTCGTAGACTCAGCCTTCATAAGCTTTGTTGCTGTGTTGTAGTTCATCATTTTGCAAGAATGTTCCAATTTGTCTTGTCTTATCTTAGGAAAGGAATAATGCTGCCAGCATGTCTGCACACTCCATGCTCTGTGAACGGATCGCCATAGCCAAGGAGCTGATCAAGAGAGCAGAATCACTTTCCAGATCAAGGAAAGGTGGGATTGAAGGTGGTGCAAAACTGTGCAGCAAATTGAAGGCAGAATTGAAATTCTTACAGAAAGTCGAAGCCGGGAAGGTGGCCATTAAAGAATCCCATTTGCAAAGTACCAATCTGACCCACCTAAGGGCCATTGTGGAGTCAGCGGAGAACCTGGAAGAAGTTGTTAGTGTCCTCCATGTGTTCGGCTACACGGATACCTTGGGAGAAAAGCAGACTCTGGTGGTGGATGTAGTTGCAAATGGTGGTCACACTTGGGTGAAGGCCATTGGCAGGAAGGCAGAAGCGCTGCATAACATCTGGCTGGGCCGAGGCCAGTATGGTGACAAAAGTATCATTGAGCAGGCTGAAGACTTCCTCCAGGCCAGTCACCAGCAACCAGTGCAGTATAGCAATCCTCACATCATCTTTGCATTCTACAACAGCGTCTCCAGCCCCATGGCAGAGAAGCTGAAAGAAATGGGCATATCTGTGAGGGGCGACATTGTAGCTGTGAACTCCCTGTTAGATCACCCTGAGGAGCTCCAGCCGAGTGAAAGTGAGTCTGATGATGAAGGCCCAGAACTTTTACAGGTGACCAGAGTTGACCGAGAAAATGTGCTTGCAAGTGTTGCATTTCCCACTGAGATTAAAGTTGATGTGTGTCGAAGAGTCAATCTGGACATTACTACTCTAATCACTTATGTATCTGCCCTCAGCTATGGAGGCTGTCACTTTATCTTCAAAGAAAAAGTGCTCACAGAACAAGCAGAGCAGGAGAGGAAAGAGCAGGTTCTACCTCAGCTGGAGGCCTTTATGAAGGACAAGGAGTTGTTTGCCTGTGAATCTGCTGTCAAGGATTTCCAGTCCATTCTAGATACCTTGGGAGGACCAGGGGAGAGGGAGAGGGCCACCATGCTAATTAAGCGAATCAGTGTGGTGCCAGACCAGCCTTCTGAGCGTGCCTTGAGACTAGTGGCCAGTTCAAAAATCAATAGCCGTTCATTAACAATTTTTGGGACAGGAGATACCCTGAAAGCCATCACCATGACTGCAAATAGTGGTTTTGTCAGAGCTGCAAACAACCAGGGTGTTAAATTCAGTGTGTTTATCCACCAGCCCAGAGCACTCACTGAGAGTAAAGAGGCTGTAGCCACCCCCTTACTGAAAGATTACACAAATGACTGAACACTAACTAAAAATTGTCATAGAAATAAGTTATTTATACCAAAGGCTGGCCTTCCCTTTATTGAGGGGAATAAAAGAGGTTTATAGTAAAAAATGGTACTTAGAACCAGTAGAATTTTTTTGTGTGTGTTATCTATATTTGAAGTAAATAATCTCTTAAAGTAGAAAAAGCACAAGAGATAACTTTATCAAGCTTCATTGCAGTTAGAAACAGAATACATCATCAAGGCTTTTAGCCATCTTGTGATAGGTTAGTTTGATTCAATAGGGTTGTAAAAACCCCTATAGCTAATCACAGTTCGTGGAATCTGGCTACACTGTGCTGTCTTGTGTTCATTAAATATCTGGAGAAAACTGCAACCTGGTTTTTCATTGTATTGGTTTTATCCCTTGATGTAGGTTGAGACTGGGAAGACAAAAGTTGGTCATTTTTAGATTCTAAAGGTAATAATCCATTATGAATGAAAAGACATGTACTTGATTGCTATGTGGCAGGCACAGTCTGGTGAGTAGGCTTATGAATTCATGATACAGAGAAGTGAAAATTGTGGCTATGAATACTGTAAATCTGTTGATATACTTTTGTGAAAAGGAAAGTCTTACATTGTACTTGAGTTAAAATATCAATTTGAATAAATTAGGAAAGAGGTTATATAGAATATTTTTTGGAAATCATATTTTATTCAATTTAACGCAAACAGCCACATAGAACAAATCTTCAAATTATGAATAGTACTTTTCCATTTCCATTTGTAGGTGACAGCTGCATCCGTTACCCCATGAAATAGTGCTGAGAGTATCTGTGCCACTGTGTAATACAGGTTGTCATTAAAAAAATTATATGACTTCATTGTACTCAGTGCTTTATTAAACTGCAATAGAACAAAACAAGTGCATATTTCTCACACATTTAAAATGAGAATTGTTGAGCAGGGTGTGGTAATACACTCCTGTAATCCTAGCAGTTAGGAGCCTGAGGTAGAAAGGTTATAAGTTCCAACCTAGGCTAGAGTAATCCTGGCTTTAGGTGGTGATTTGAATTAACTTTGCTAACTAATGTTGGTATTTGACTGTGGCAGGTCAGTCTGACATCTTCTGTGCCTGCTTCCTTGTTTTGTGACAAAGGAGCTAGCAAATAATATTTGTGAAGGAGTTAAAATTTGGTTGTTAGGATCCAAGAACACAGGAGGGAATGCAAAATTAAGTATACAGGGAAGTTCTCCGGGAGAGGCTGTACAACTAAGAACATTTTCTTTGAGAAAGGCCATGTTGGGCTTTCTATTTAGTGTACAGAGGTAATGAATTGTAGCAATGGCATGTCTGCTTTTTGAGCACCTAGCAATGTGCTGGAATATGTGGGGCTAGCAAATACTGCTACATAATGGAAGCATCATAGTAACAGTATGAAGATTAGTAATTTCTCTAGGAAGTTCTGAGCCTAAATAGAGGCAAAGATCAGAAATGCCATGTTCTGAATTGTGTTCCCTGTACTAAGCTGGGGAGTGGTTCTTGCTGTCAGAAGTCAGGTAGTGATGTTTCTAGTTTCTGGTGTGTATTTCACAAAGCACTTGATGAGAACTTTTTAAAATGGGCTTGCCGAAGTATGAAAGTGTGAATTTGAGGGACTGATCAGGGCGAAGCTATGGGTGGACAGGTATGGTGAATCTACTAAGTCAGAGTTCTAAAAGTTTGGAACTAAAAAGCCATTGGTGAGTTTGGGGGAAGGGTGGTACATGATCAGATGGCATCTCTTAGGATAGCCAACATGTGTGAATTAAAGAAGTCAAGGAAAAATTGAAAAAGTGGCCAGTGTATGAATGATGGAATGAATATAGCATCCTGCATATGATAGGTGGGTTTGAGGAAGTTTTGACCTGACAGTAATATTTAGTAAATACATAGGGGTGCCTGGCATGTACCAGATACAGGAGGAAATATAGCATAGGAAATGATTGCTTTCAAAAAGGTAGATTCCTTTCCCTACACCCTAGCAACAAATTCCTAAGATTAGAATCTTTGCCAGCCAGATGGTCATAATCACTCAGAAAGATGTTTCTTAAGCGATCACAGTGGCCCTGTCCAAAACCATTATCTTTTCCCAGGCATTCAGTGATTCATCTCTTAATAATGCAGTTTAAAAATGCAGCAGTAAATGTGATATTAAGTAGCAGAGCATGGAATCCTGGGATGTAAGAAATACTGCTTTCAGGAAAATTCGCAAATACAACCAATCCCCCACCCCCACCCCACAAAACCCACTAGAGATTATAAAGATGAAAAATAAGGAAAGTTTGAAAAGGAATGTCTAGTTAAACATCAGTTAGGAGCTGCAAGGGGATCAAGTTACCGAGCAAAGCAAATGTCTAAAACCTTGTGTAGGGTGCAAATATATAAGAATTACGTATTGGAAGTTGAAAAAAGAATGAAAAAAATGCATGTTAAAATAGGGCAAAAAGGAGTCAACATTAACTTTAAAATTTTGATGTTGAGAAAGTAAAACATCATTTTAGGTATGAAAGAAAAAGTACAACATAGTATACACTAAACCAAGCTAAATAAGTTCCAAATGGGTGAGGATAGAAGATACATTTTTAGATATAATATAAAAGAAGCAATGAAATATTTCTCAGAATAAAATTTTGTGTTTTTTTAATCTGTTTATAGCTTAAGTTTTAATACTATGCTAATAAAGTCACTAGGGCTAGACCACAGTAAACATTAAAGAGTATAAATTATCTCAAATGTATTGGAGATTCATATTCTACTAGACTGCCAAAAACAAAAAATGTTAGGAAGTATTTCTGCCAGGCCTAACTTGTGTTGTTGTATTCCCATTTTTTTCTTAATTTTTTCACTCCATGAAGTTTTTAGGAACATAACTTTCTCATTATATCTTTTTTTTGGGGTAGGGGGGAGGGTCCGGTCGTGGGGCCTGAACTCTGGGCCTGGGCGCTGTCCCTCAACTCTTCAGCTCAAGGCTAGTGCTCTACCCCTTGAGCCCCAGCGCCACTTCCAGCTTTTTTCTTTTTGCTTATGTAGTGCTGAGGAATCGAACCCAGGGCCTCATGCATGCAAGGCAAGCACTCTACCACTGAGCCACCTTCCCAGCTCCTCTCATGATATCTTGAATGAAGTTCCCTGGATATAATCTGTTCTTTTAGATTCCTTCTGAAACTTTTGGCCAATTCTTTGTACCTTTCTAAGAAAGCAACCCAGACATTAAAGGGAGGGGTTTTACAGTTTGACTACCAGAATTAGCCAAAAAGATAAACAATGCAAAATATAATCGATGTAATTATTTTGCATTAATTTTCAATTTCCTCTGAGGAGCAAGGGTTTTCTTAATCTTAGGTGGTCTAACCAGAAGAGTTTAGAAGTTATATATGATTACAATACTAAATACTAATTTCAATTTACTTCATTGATACCTTTCTATCAATGAATTCAACACATATCACAGACATTAAACGTTATTAACTTCTTTCTGGAATATCTCTAGCAAGGAGAACAATTCTCCATGACTTCATGATTAAACTTGGTTTCTTTTTTCAGGGCCTGAGCACTGTCTCTGAGCTTCTTTTGTTCAAGGTTAATGCTCAGAAGATAACAGGCCAACAATCTTTGACCCTCTAATATATTTCATGGTGGATGAAAAGCATAGAATTCTCAGCCAGTACAAATACTTTAGAAGATGAAAATGTGGGAAATAGCAACAACAAGACTAATAATAGCAAACTAATGATAAAAAGTCTTCACTGAGCCTAATCTAATCACAGCACAAAACAAGTGAACTAAATGAAACATCTTTAACTGCAGTTCTAGAGTTGAAGGTCTATTGCTTCCAGTTTTTATTTTATTTTTCCCTAAGAGAGGACCTTAGATGTGGTTTACTGATCTCAAATCAGTCTCCTAGGATGCATTGTTCTTGGAACTGTGAAAACAAAAGTGAGTAAGATTAACTTAGTTCTGGTCCTTTAGAGCTTTATATTTCTCCCAATAATTACATTCTTCTGGAGTTGATAGAAGACATTAATTGATCCTAATATATAACATAAATGCCAGGTTGAGTGAATTGCCTTCAATGTGGCTGTAAATTGAGGTAATTAAGAATTCAATGGACACATGGCCATAATTTCCTGTCTGCTGCAATTAAGAATGCTAGAACTGCCGGGCACTGGTGGCTCACACCTGTAATCCTAGCTACTCAGGTGGCTGAGATATGAGGATTGGGGTTCAAAGCCAGCCTGGGCTGGAAAGTCTGCAAGACTCTTAACTCCAGTAAACCATTCAGAAAACTGGAAGTGGCGCAGTGGCTCAAGTGGTAGAGCACTAGCCTTGAGCTGAAGACCTGAGGGACAGTACCCGGGCCCCGAGTTCAAGCCCCATGACCGACAAAAAACAAAACAAGAATGCTAGAACTAGAAAAGCACTTAGAACTTGGCCCAACAGGCAGAGTTCTAGGGGAAATGACAAGCCAGATTTCAAGCCTGTGAGTTACTGACTTCCCACTAGGGGGCACCACAATGCCATGACCACACATGGGCTTTGACATTGATAAGCATGAGATGACTGTTTAATGTAAGTTGTAGCTTTTATTGTCTTAATTGATAGAGAGTTGTACACACTGCTATGTACACTGATAATACAGAATACAATGATCAAGGCGGGGTATGTAGCATTTCCATTTCCTCAAACATTTATTACTTTTTTATTCAGACTCAGAAGGACCTCCAGTCTTACAGTAATTTTGAAATGCCCCGCAGATTGTTGCAGTCTATAGTTACCTTATTGTGTTACAGAATACCATCACTCCTTCCTCTTGTCTAACTGTATTTTGAAACCCATTACCTAGCTTTTATTGGACTCAAAATCACTATCTGGGTAACTTGGGACAAGTGACTGAATCTCACCCAGCTTAGCATTCTTAACTGTAAAATAGGAACCGTATTTTACAGAAACCTTACAAGGATTGAAATGGAATAAGATACCACACAGCAATTATAGCTCACTATAGCTGGCACCAAATAAAGGTCTTAATAACAACTATCAACTCTGATTAGTTATCACACTTCATGCCTTTTAAATACAATTCTTTGTGTGTGTGTGTGGGCATGGACGTGTGTCAGTTTTGGAGCTTGAAATCAGGGCCTGGGGTGCTGTTTCTGAGCATTTTTTTTTTGTTCAAGGCTGGTTCTCTACCACTTGAGACACAGTTCCACTTCGGGCCCTGAGTTCAAGACCCAGTATAGACCCTCCCAACACACACACACAGATGTCCTTTTATATTGTTGTGTCCTTTACTCGTTGTATTTTTCTGGGTATCATATCCTTCCTATATGGTTTTTTAAAATGCATAACCT